GCCAGGCCGAGCTGTCCACCTGCTCGGCGCCGCAGACGCAGCGCATCTTCCAGGAGGCCGTGCGCAAGGGCAACACGCAGGAGCTGCAGTCGCTGCTGCAGAACATGACCAACTGCGAATTCAACGTGAACTCTTTCGGGCCGGAGGGCCAGACGGCGCTGCACCAGTCGGTCATCGACGGCAACCTGGAACTAGTGAAGCTGCTGGTCAAGTTCGGCGCCGACATCCGCCTGGCCAACCGCGACGGATGGAGCGCGCTGCACATCGCTGCGTTCGGCGGCCACCAAGACATCGCGCTCTATCTCATCACCAAGGCCAAGTACGCGGCCAGCGGCCGGTGATGCCCGGCCGGGCGCCCGCCTCGCCCCTGCTGGACCTTCCCTCCAACTACCTCGGAGCGCCGGAGCCCGCGCCGCCGCAGCCGGGACCCGAGCCCCGCCGCCCGCGTGCCCCTCTGGGCCTCCCGGGCCGCCGCGACGCGCGGCCCTGCCGCCGGGAGGGTGGGGGCGGGGCGGAGGCAGCCTCTTTGAAATTTGAGTCCCGAGCAGCCAGTTCGGAGTCCCGCGACACCGGATCCTCGGCCCGCAGGTGGCCGGCGGGCGTCGAGGAGACGTCGGCCTCCGGGCGCCGCGCCGCACGACCCTCCTCCGCCGGTTCTCGCGCGGTGTCTCCGGTGAGCTGCGTGCGCCCCGCGCTTTGTTCGGGAAATCGTGTGCGTAGGTGGTGTGCTTGATGGAAGAAGATGCGTTGTTTTGTGGGGGGGTTTGCGGGGGGGAGAATCCTCTTCCGTCTTAAAACGAAAACTTGAGTCTGTTCTTCGTTGCACTGAAAACGCCGCCCCGCCCAAAGGGTCTCGGTGCACCTCCCCTCCCCCAGCCTGGCCCCCCACCTCGCCGCAGCTCCCGCCCCCCTCCCTTCAGGAACAATTCGTGCGAGTTTAGGAAGCGCCGGGCCCAGAGCCGCTCCCCACCTCCCGGTCCCCCACATCCCTCCCGTGAGCGGTCACCGCGAGTGCTGGCGGCGGTGACTCTCCAGCGAGATCTAGGCCAGGTAACGGTCAGTTGTACACTTTTTTTTAAAAAGTAAATGGATTTGCCACAATTTAAATGTCATAACATTTATGACAATATAAAATATTAACCTATTTTAAGCCAAGTCCGAGGTGTATGTTTTGAGTCTTGGGTAGAAACCCAATTTTAACGGGCGTTGTGAAGGCCACAGAGTGTACCCATATTTATATTTTTATAAAATGCCTTTGAGACTGAAGCCGTCTGCGGACTGCCGAGCGTGGAAGGACGGCGCTCGCCCCGGAGCTGCCCCTTCCCCGGGAGCCGCCTCGGAGCTGAAAGCCCTGCGTGGGGGAGGGGCCGGGCGGGGGGCTGCGCCGGCCTGGGCCGCGGAGGTGTCTGCGTCTCCTGTCTTCCTGGGTCGCCGGCGCGGGTCCAATTTTCTATGCAAGCCCACAGCCTGCTTGTTTTGATCCCGGGAAATAAAAGGGAGGCTGCGCGATTCAAATTTAAATGAGGCTTCCCCTTCCCAGCAGTGCTGCTGACCCTTCAAGCCGAAATGGGGAGCCAAGAGGACACAGGTGGATGGGGCCTTTGTGCGGGGCTGGTCACATGGCCGAGCTGACCACGTCGGGACGCAGACAGTGAAAACTGGCGCACATCGCTCCGCAGGGAGCTTCTCTGTATATTTTTTCTAGATGCAAATACCTTTTTAATTATGTTAATTAATGTTGAGACTCTAGGCTTATGTCCAAGCCGTGTGCGCCCCGTCTGGTCTCGGCTGACGGGTAAGGTGGACAGCACTCGCCCTGTGTACGATAGAAACTTGTAGCCCAGTGTGAAAAATTTTAAATAAATTTTTCATTGATCTTTTTGTATGAAGAGCTCCGTTTGGTTTGTTGTTTTTCTTGACCCTTGTGTCCCCACACTATGAATGGCCGGGGGGGTGGAGGGTGAGGTGGGGTTGGAGGGGGGCGCTGAGGGCAGGTCACCTCCTCTTCCATAAAGCCTTCTTCCTGGCAGGAGGGAGGCCTGAATGGCCAGTTCCCCCTGCTGGGACCCAGCAGTGTCTAGGCCCAGGGAAAGGGACAAGCCAGCTCCTGTTGTCCACCCTGTCCCCCTGGGCTGCTACATTACCAACTGGGGACACTACTCTGATTGATGACCTCTCACTAGAAGGTCCCCCCACCCCTGGGGGGGATTCTGCCCCAGAAACTTCTGGGACCTACTGAGAGCTTGTTAGGCAGTGAGCCTAGTTGGGCCTGGCTGGAGGGGCAAGGACAGAGGGGAGTGGGCTGCTATGGCCACTGAAGGAGGTGCAGAGGAGGGCACCCTGACCTTACCCCAGCAAGGGTGGCCTACCAGGAGGAGGTCTGGCCCTGGAAGATTACTGGTCTGCTTTAAGGCAGCAACAGGGGCCCCACTCGAGGGGGCACAGGGTAAGCTGCCCGTCACAGCTGCAGCTGGCTGTCCCCACACTGCTCCTGACCAATGCACGACTCTACTGCAGGTCTTCCCTGCCACTAGAGCTGACCTACAGGACATGGCACTGGGTCCCCTGCACCCAGAAGTCCCAGGGGAAAAGAGTGTATCAGGGTGACCTTCCATGTGCCCTGTCCTGAGGCAGGGGGAGCAGGGCAAGTTTGGGAAATAACCAAGACATTGGGTGGGGACACCACTCCCCACACCCACAGGGCACCGGCAGGGCACTGCTGTCCTGATGTGGCAGGACCAGCTTTATTCTGAGGGGTCATTCTGGCAGTGCCACATCCATGCAGGGGGTATGGCAGTGCCACATCCATGCAGGGTAGCCTGCCCCCAGTCCAGGCCTGGGAGTTAGCTGAGGAAGGGTCCATGCAGCTGCCCTGGAGGGATCTATCTGGCCCCATGTTGCAGGCCAGGTCGGGGGTTGGCGAGCTACCCCCAGGTGTGGCTGAGGACATGCTGGCCTCTCTCCTAGGGCAGACCCACTAAGGGGCCAGCCTGGCTCTTCACTGTGTGAGACTGGGTGCAGAGATGAGGCACAGGGCCCCTGGGAGACCAGTCGGACATCCACCAACCCCAGGATTGTCCTTGGAGGGCAGAGGCTGAGGAGGGAGGGAGACTGGGCCCAGCATGGCCATGAGCGGGCATGTGCTACCCTCTGTGAGAGGTAGGGACAGGAACAGAGAAAGCCTACTGGGGGGAGAGGCGGGGAAACAGGGGCATGCAGGGCTTGGGGCCATGGTGGGCTGGTGCAGCCAGGGGTATCCACAGGGAGAGTCTCTTTGCACAGGGCTGCAGTGGAGGCCTCTGTGAAAGGGAGAGAGGCAGCTGACCTGACCACCTCTCTCAGCTCCTACCCTGCCCCCAACCTCTGAAGGCAGTGCTGCCCTAGCCAACCAGGTTCAGCAGGTGGGCTGCAGGGGATCTTTTCAGTGTGGCCATGGCAGGGTCCACTCCAGCAACGTCGGGGCTCAGACTCAAGGCCCACTGTCCATCTGTCCAGCTCAGACTCTGGCCCAGACCACTGGAGTGGACCCCGACAAGAGCAGAGGATGCAGGAAGGTGTCAGTCAGTCAGCACAGATCTGTCCACAGCAGCGGGTGGCCCAGGGCAGGGAGGGCAGGATTGGGGGACGTGATGGGGAGGCAGAGGAGAGAGCGGAGCTTTAATTGAGGCCAGAGGGCCTAATCCAGGGAACCCAGATGCCATCTGCACCCCCAGGAGCTCAAACGAGGAGCAGGGTCCATCCACCTGGGCCCTGAACTGATGAACACAGCATGTGAGGCCCCCGCCTTTGTGGCTGCAGGCTGCAGCTCAGCCGGCCAAGTCTGTCGCTCTCTTCTGCTGGACTGGCAGTCTGACCATCCCTCTGGGTGTCCCTCTGTCAGGCTTTTCTTTTCTGCTGCCCCAAAGCCCAGTCGCCATTCATTCTCAGGGCCCCTGCCCTCTCCTCTGCTCACTCAACGAGCAGCTGCTATGCTAATGAGATCCGAAGGAGGTGGGGGCTGCCCAGGAATCTGGGGGTCCGGGCAGGAGGGCCGAGGAAGCTGGGGACTTAGGAGGGGTGCAGAAGAGGTTGGGGGCTGGGTGAGGACCTCAAGGATGTTGGGGGTCCTGGCAGAGGGTGGGGGTGGCAAAAAGGGGGGAACAAGATGGCTGGGGGCTGGTCAGGGGTAGGGGTCCGTGGGACCTCGCGGGCGGGGGCGCTGCTGGCCGCTCACAAAGGCCCTTCTTTGCATTCACACCTGCCGTCCCTCCGCCGTCCGAAGCTCCCCGCCCAACCCACCCCCGGCGGCGCTGGCTGGGGGCGGGGCCACTCGCACCCAGACCGACCGACCGCGTTCGGGGCCGGGAGGGAGCCCGCCCGAGCGACAGAGGGGCCACCGCCCCTGCCCCCACGCACCCTCCGCCGTCCGGGTAGTGGCGGGCAGACTCCAAGTGTCACCTCTGCTGGGGGTCACGGCCTGGGACGCGCAGCCGCTCCCTCCAGAGCCCCTGCCCCCCGCGGCCGTGGGCGCCGGCTGGGTCCTTGCCGACAGCGGGGGTCGCGCAGCGGGATCCGTGCGCCTCCCCGCTCCGCCCCGCCGACACCCCTTGGGCCGCACGCCCTTCGGGAGGGGACTAGAGCAGCGCCCTCCTCGCCCCGCCGGGCACCAGGCCTCCCGGGCTCCGGGAACGACGCTGGTGGGGCCGTGGAGGGTGTCTTGCGGCGAATCCTCTCCCTGCGCGCGGCTCCCGCGGACCCCGCGCGGCTGCAGCCCCGAGGTGGGGCGGCGGCGGGAGGCTCGGGCTCTGCTGCCACCCGGTGGCCGCGGCCAGCACTGCGTCCTCATGGCCCTCGTGGGCCCACGGTTGTCCCCGCCTGACCCGACCCCACTGGAGGGCCAGTTGGGGCGCCCACCTCTTGCTTGGCGTGCCAGGGACCCCAAGGCACCGGGACTGCCTGGAGCAGCGGGGCGGGCGCCGAAGATGAGCCAGGGTGATCCTGGCAGTCCAAAAGCCTGTGGTCACGCCGAAAAGCGCCCACGTTTGAACCCACCAGGTCACTTGAGGGCTTGTTTTTTCCTTAAAGGGCGCAGTAGCACAAATAAGTTGGGAGCCCCTGGGACCAAAGGACAGCATCTAGAGTTGTCAGGCATGGGCAGCAGCCCTGGACCAGAAAGCCCGCTCCTTCCGAGCCACCGGGGTGTCCCACCCTGCCCTGCACAGAATGCAACCTGGGACCCAGCCCAGTGGGCGCAACAGCCAGGCTCAGGCCCAGTAAATGTCCACAGGAGGAGGGCCCTGGCTGAGCTGGCCCCAGGTGGGAGGAGGCTCTAGGGCAGGACACACACAGGCAGGTAAGGCAGGTGCAGGTGTGCAGGGAGGAGCAGGACGGACTCCAGAATACGGACACCCTGTCCAG